TAACATTACGACGCTTGGCGTCATGCCAATCAGCCAACGCAGCCTTGTATTGGTCGGCTTTCTTGCACCACTCTCGTTGGCAGGACTTGTAGGCCTGCACTGATCGTGGTTTAGTACATTCTTCTGAAAATAGTTCAAGGTTTGAACCGCTCGGAATCATTACTCGCTATTCAAGTTGCGCCACGTATTCGACTCCCATTCATAATTGTGATAGCTTTGGATAGGTGTATTTTTACACAATACAAACTAATATATAATAAAGGGCGGAAGTGGTGTAGTGGCAAGTGGCGCGCTTACCACGCGAGCGGTCCGGGGATCAAATCCTGGGTCGTGAGTCGCCCGGGCCAACCAAGCCTTCCATCCCTCCGGGGTCGGTTAATTGGTACCAGACTTGTCTGGGAGGATAAAAACACTGACTTGTACATCGGCTGGCCCCGCAAGTCATTGTATAGGCCACATCGCATTCAAACGCCACTACGAACAAATGGAAGTAGAATGCGTGCCGCATCCCAAAAGGGATTGATCAACGGCAAATGCTTTATCCTTTTTATTTCTATACAATGACTTTTCGGTTTGTTGTGCAGACGTTTGTTATCGAGGACAAGTCTGGAATTGACTAAGCGCCCTGGTTCTGATTGATTACGAGGTTTGAGCCCTGGGCTATGTGTAGGTGCGACAGCAGCGCCACTTGGCACTGCACCAGTTTCGCCTTCATCTGTGTCCTTTAGTAATAAGGAACAGGTAGAGAATGGCAACAGATCGTGTCGTATGGGAGGCTACCCAACATCAGTGAGAATAAAGCTAAATATAAGTTCAAATTACCACCCACCATGATCTACCACCAATCGATATTTGACCATTTGTCGTCCGTTCAGAAAGCATTCATAGTCGGCGTTATCTTCACGCGACACCTCCATAATCACCAAACCACCAGCATCGGTGAACAAAAGACGTGAAGATGGGGTAATACTAAATGTAGGTGAGGTTTAACCTAAGCTGAGCTGCGAATCGGTGGAGCAACTACTTATTCCCGTCACGTTTCCAAACAGCACCGGGAGCACCCACGAGGTGAACAGTATCACCCGGATAGGCAGCCTGTGCACGTGGTTTTGCCGAGGCGGAACACTCGGACGAACCACGCCCTGCCCATGACGAGATCCATCTGGAAGGAATGTTTACAAAACGACTTTCAGTATGAGAATCAGTGTGACTTACCCCAAACTCTGGCCATGGGCCTTTTCTCGAGGATAGCAGGCCGATCTGGCCACGTGCCAACTGCAGTACGGATCGACGGCACACAGGGCGCACGATGAGTGCATGGAACAAGCTGCCAAGGTGAACTGAGTGACGGCAGAACGAGAAGCAAAGTAGAGGAATTCTGAAAAGGTACAGAGTGAGTTGTTGGTCACGATAGTAATTTACAAAGACCTTATTCGATACAATAGAATGGATTTTCAAATTGTTCGCTGTCCGGAAGTCGGAAAACGGGAAACGAAACAGTTCTCAATCAGCATCCAAGCTTACAAACATACGGCCGCATTTATACTTATTCGAATCGTATACTGACCTATTGTATATACCCTCTATTTAGGAAGAGCGTCGAGTGCAGACCACACACCACAAGTGACGACGGCCAAGAAAAGTGGCTTTTTCTTTCTTTTTTCTTGGCCGTCGTCACTTGTGTGTGTGGTCTGCACTCGACGCTCTTCTCGTTTTCCGAAGTAGAGGTTAAATGGATGGAGGAGCGTCAGCGGCTCTCATTTTCTGTTCGTTTGCGCTCTCTCGCCGCGATAGTGTAACCTCACCCTCTTCTACACTTCATACATGTCAATTAGCTCGTCCTATCCCACTCGTGGATCTTCAAATTCCTCCTAGCTTACGAATTTTTCGAGTCGCGCTGAATATTACAACTATTTTAGTGAGAAGGCACAGTAAAAGATTACGGGGGCTAGCTAGGTGCCACTTCCCAACTGATATCTCCACATTTACGTAATTTTAACGGCTACTATGTAATCGTGAATGATTACGGTCTACTGTAGCTCAAAGAAAATATTCAATCATGTTTACTGCTGCATAGAAATTTGTATTCTGAAGTGGCCGTGCTGTTCCATGAGGCTCGCTCAAGCGGTTGAACCAATAAATATCTTCTACAGGTACGTCAAAACACTATAGAATCACGCTCAAGAAGGTGAAAAAACCTTACCTCCGGGCAAGAGTGTCATGGCCTTGATCGGCCCTCCAGCACCAATTTCCCTCTTTTCCAATTCCAACCATTTCCATGAGTTACCTTCACGCCAATGAGACACCTTCCAGAGTGTGTTCGATCTGAATGCGACATCAACAGTACAATTAACGATTTTTTCCAAAAAAAACTATGAAAGGGGCCTAGGTGTTAGCTCATGAATCGGACTCTAGAAGAGACCATCATTTCTTTGAAACATTTTCTCTGATTTCAAGAATTTGAGGTAGTTTTACCGATTCAGGCGTTTTAAGTGGGACAGCTCGGCCCATCCGCAGCACTTTTCTCGGTTTAACTACTCTGTTCTGCTGGCGCGACGTGACAGAATATTCTTATTTTATCCTCCAGTCATCGTTGGGTAAGAGGAGGTGCCAGACTTTGCGGTTGCAATCGCGAACTTGGGAGCGGGGCCAACCAAGGTCAACCGTGCATTGAGCAGTCTTCAACGGGGGAGGTGGTATTTAGGTTTTTTTGGAGAAGGGGTCATATTAGAGGTCGGGGAAGGCCAAAAGGTTGCAAAGCGGGGTGTGCTCGAATTGTTCAAAGTGGGCGAGGGAGAGTTGGGCCTGGACAAACTGGTCTGAAGAATGAATACACATACAAAGAGAGGGTGGTGATCGAAGATGGGGAAGGGGGATCGTGTTGAGCGACTCCCCTATGGTTGATGGTGGTGGTGAAGAATCGTATCGAAACCACCTTGAAGAGAAGGGTCGTCGAAATTATTTTGTAAATGGGAACAGGGACAGTTGATTTGCCAACCGCAACCTAAGGATCATAAAGGTACGCTCCATATGATTAAGACATACGCGCCAGAACTCTCACCCTGCCACGTCCGTGACCGAGGTTGCACGCGTAGTCCGACACCTATCCCAAAAAAACGCAAAAAAAAAACCACAGCTGAGCCAGTCAATCTCTAAACGCCTTAGCTCATTTCTCCTCACCTGCCATCCAACGCGAAAATCACGTTCTGTTCGCTGCGAACGTCGACTGCAATGTGGGTAAAAATAACGTCTCGTGTGGCCAATATTGGCATCCCACCTGAAATTTCGGTGTTCAAAATCGATAATCGATCCGGATGGACGTAAAATCCCACTGAGTTCACAACCTGACACGGGTTCGGCCATCAGGAGATGAGATTTTGCAAAGTGCAAGGTCCGAGTCAGACAGCGAATGTGAGTTAGAGACACACTGAAATGAAGATGTACATCTGACAGTGCCATGAAAAGTATACCGAAAAACATACCGTTCCCGGTCGATGCTCTGGCACTGCGTCAGCGGGTAGTGGCAACCAATTGGGACTATTTGGATCGACGAAAAAGCCATGATGGAAAAGCTAAATTTCGAATAAAGTAAAGTACTGTAGCGATTTATTGATGGTGCTGCAATTTTGAGAAAGTCGTGTACCTGATTGATGCTCTTGAACGAGAACACGCAGATCGCCGATGTGACGAATGCCGTCTCTGAAGTGCTCATTGTAGCGTAGAACAGTGTGTCATCAGAGGTCTCGACACGAGTGACGGCTTCTGAAAGGAGTACGGTAGACTACCGTACCAGCACACAGTACTACTGACCATCTAATTATCGTGCAGGAGCAAAATTTTTCTCAACATATTCATACAAAAGCACTGCATTGCCACAAAAGCGAACATTATAGCCCGCCATATGACCAGTGGTCAGATAAATAGCTCTAACAGTACTATGCGGTCAAAGTAATACGCGGTACTGTGAACGAGATGACACAAATTCATGACTCTTTCCAAGAACGCGTCCACACCTTGACGTAGGACAAACGCGACCTCCTATTCTCTGAAACGTGATGACATACCGATTGATATTGATCGAGTTCTCTAGTGAATGTGGTCTCGTCCCTAACCAATCTCACCTTACACACTCTGGCCACTCGACTATAAACGCTTCGTTCCGGTCCACCACTCTCTATGGCGATCTCGCGGAAGAAGAAGTACACATGCTCTCCGACATCGAACGAACCAACGAATTGAGGTTCTGGAAACTTCAATTATCAACCTTAATTAGGGTAGGGCTACGGTAACTCCTCTGTAGATATTGACGAAGTTTGGGAAACAGTGTTCGTCCATCATATATTTATTTACATGTTTATTTATTTGTTCATTTATTTTCTGTACATTTTCGGCCAGAATACAACAGTATTTCGATTGAACCCATCTGACGTGATCGAAGGCCTATTTATGTATAGAGCAAAAATTCGGGTTAAAGGATAAGGATAAAGCATTTGCCGTTGATCAATCCCTTTTTGGGATGCGGCACGCATTCTACTTCCATTTGTACATTCGTAGTGGCGTTTGAATGCGATGTGGCCTATACAATGACTTGCGGGGGCCAGCCGATGTTCAAGTCAGTGTTTTTATCCTCCCAGACAAGTCTGGTACCAATTAACCGACCCCGGAGGGATGGAAGGCTCGTTGGTTGAGCGTTCCACTTGCCACTACACCACTTCAGCCCAAAATTCAGGTTACTACAACTAATTCCATGAAATTAAACAGCAGATCTCAGCCCGGGAGTAATTATTGACAACTGATCAACAGCTAGCGACACGTAACGCAATCGGTCATCCCTTACCGACTACTAATTTACATCTAAGCGCTCAAGTGGGATGAGGGGAAAATCTCGTGATTCTCTGACGAAACGGCCACCCTCAAGATGAACCCCGGCCCGCTTCTGCACCTCGTCGGCGGACAATGCTTCGTCAGGTAACGCAATAACGCGTGAAGCATAATTCGATTTGCACTTTTCCAATAAGCTTCGTTAGGACTGGATCGATAGCACACGCATTTACCTCAGCTGGGTTGTCAGGGTAATAAGGAATTTTGACTGACGAACACCACCGTTCTCCCCTGTGAGGTTCCACTCGTGGCTTTCCCTTAGCTTCCCACGAATTCCAGCGTCCAAAACTAGTATAAGCCTGCGATCACTATCTAGAACCGTCAATTTTCCTTGGAGAGCCGAGTAGAAATCAGCACGCCGAAACCCTACTGGTGAGCGCATTTAAGCTTATGCTTATGTACATGAGGAAAAGGTCCTCCTCTCTTGAGATACCCCGCCCACTTGGGAGATATTTTGTTGGTTCTGAAAAGTTGTAATAAACAGGGGCTTGGGAGTGAAAATCTGGAAAAAAGATCTAATTTCAAAAATTTTTAGGTCAATATTCATGATCTATTATTTATTCATTACTTCATATATTTATATTTGTTTATAATTGCCGAATCATTTTATTATTTATTCATTACCTACGGCTCCACCTACCGTATAGCCATCGATTATCCGTATAGACGACTATCCGTGTAGACACTCCGCAGACTAGAGTGCACTTCCTTTCCCTTGTCGACGAGAGCTGGCCGATAGATCAAGATGGTTTTCACCGGCCATACCCGTGCGAATACCCGAGTACACTGACGGTAACTCACTGGGATTTCCCCATTCTGTAATTGATGATATAGAGCAGAAGAAGCCTGAGAAGACGCTTGTCAAAAGGTACCGTACCCACTATAACGGCAGTCGCGTTGACGGTTGCATCCGGGGCGCAGATACCGATCTCTGTTCGTGGCTCCTGACGATCTCGTCAGGGTGACGGCAGTCAAGTAATCAGAATCTCTGCACGCATAGCGCAGCAGACGCAAAACCTAGAACGGTTACGGTAAGCGATAAGGAAGTCCGACTATCGTAATCCAGCTACGGTATTGATTGAGCTACAGTACTAACATATAGTCGTTCTTTATTGTCTGTTAATGCCATGAATCTTGTTGATGGTTGACATTCTTCGGCAGAATTTCCCAGTGCCCGACATTCAGACAGCTCGGCCGGCGGGACACTGACACGAAGATCGGCATACTGAAATAAATTAATCGATTTCTCTTCAAATAGGGAAACGGTAATTGCAATTTTCGGGAAAATACACACACGCGACCTCCGGCTAGGATTGGTTGAGCTATGATTGGCTTTAGATCTCAAACTGCAAATCGATGTCAGAACTGATGCGCTAATTACCCACTATCAGTTCTTACAACATCTACAGTTTAGATTCATGGGTGCACTCTGGGCGCTTAGTAACCCTTTTTATACCCTGGAGGGTCGTTAGCTCAGGATTCTGATTAGTCTATCAGGACATTGAGCGAGCGGCAGCAGAGTTATGCCAACAAAGCCTTTTGAAAACCAAGTGACCCTACCAAGTTTTCCGAAGTGTCGTTCACGTTGTAAGCCCATAATCGGAAAATTCGTCCACGGGCACCGACGTACAATGAGGCCGAGTTTGCGTCCAATACCAGATTACGGTAATCCAAATCACCGCGTGTGAAGATGTTGTCTGAAAAGAGGACAGATGAAATAGCGTACTGAAAACTGAGCGATATATTTAACTTATGGTTAGTGGTCACTCCCTAATCCCTAAAAAACGATTCGATACTTCTGAAAAGCTCCATATTCTCAACAATGGCTAACAAATATGCTACCAAATTTATAGGAAATTTGCTTTTTAATACAATTTTAATGAATTTTATGTCAAATAAATCGGTGGAGCTGGAGACCAGGGGGAGGGGTCTGCAGTTTTGCTCTCACCATGGAGATAAGAATTCAAGGCGTTCATATTATCGTCTTATCCTTCCTTAGTGCTAAAAACTTCAAAAGAGTGCTCGCTAGTGCTAAGGATAAGATAACAAGGAGTCCCCCCAACACCATTTTCACCGATTATTTGCGTCTGTATTTTCCAATTTTTCTGTAGCTTTATATAACTTTTGACAATTTTTCGAACATCTAGTTTAGGTTGTTTTTTAAAACTAGCTCAACTTTTTTATTTTCTCATTCACACAAAGGTGCGCATAAACACAAAAGTGCTAAGCGACAGGGAACACAAAATCCCGTCGCAGTTCAGTTGTTTAGTTGTTCTATAACTCTATTTGAAGAATGATAGGTATAAATTGCACCTTCTATCCAGAAGACTCCTCCATAATATCATATCTGATCTAGTATCCTAGGAGCTGAGAAAGTTTTCCAGCCAAGTGACTCTTCTGATGGAATTATTCCACTCCCCGTGTATAGGTCGTGTCATTTCTGACCGCATTAACCGCGTCTCTCACGGATCAAAGGCGTCACCGACTGCCTCGTACGAGGTCATGAGGAAATTACTCTTGGTTACATCGTCCAGATGGTCAATGGCTGAACCACAGTGGGACAACTTCTTGCGAGTCAGCGAAACATATTGATATGAAAGGACAATTCCACGAAGGTTGAAGAATACTTCCTTGGTGAAAAGAGGGAGACGTTCAGTTCTCCTACTG